TAGCGTAGCGTAGCGTAGTGTAGCGTAGTGTAGTGTAGTGTAGTGTAGTGTAGTGTAGTGTAGTGTAGTGTAGTGTAGTGTAGTCCAGTGTAGTCTAGTCTAGTCTAGTCTAGTGTACTCGAGTGTGCTTATCAGGTAATCGTTTTGCTCTTTTTATTGTTGTCAATCATTTATTTTGTAATTCCCTGCACGACTTATGTTATAATATGTTTGGTTGTGTTATTTCTAATTTCCCGGGAACTTATTTACCATATTCCAATACAATCACCATTCACTATGATTTGTCGACTTGGATACCAATATTATGGTGTCCACAGAGGTTACGGGTTGTAGTAGTCAATCAACACATATCTTGATGACTGGCTGCTTCATCATGTTGACACCACAGCAGAAATATTAGCCAATCACTGAAAAAGGAGTACCTCACATTGATGGGGTTGATTGGAGTTTTCTCGTCTACGAGGAACTTGGTGCCAAGGTCGACCCTGTAAATCAGATAGAATCAGGAATTCTTGGGTGTAATTTTGTCAGTTGATGATCTCAGTTATTTCTGATGTTTCAGGTACTGAGAGAAAAGGGCACAATTGGACGCTTTTATTAAAAGGAAATGAGCTGATAATGAACAAACTGGCCGCTCTGATGAAATGATGTGGTTAGACCGCAGTTTAATGCATGAATTTCAGCATCTAGCCAAACAAAGATCGGTTCAGATTCATTGTAACATTACGATTTTGGTGCACTACCTCAACATCGGGAGAAGTCACATCGACAACGTTGAACAACCTGGCAGTGTCAATCCAGCGATATCAAGTTGTAGGTGAGGCAGCTGAAGGGTGAACTGAACACTGTAGTGGATGCTCTGCTCCGCTAGGAGCAGTTCGAGTAATTGGAATGGGTGTTTTCCCAGGCAATCAACTATTCAATCATTGGCGCGAGCCATTCACACCCCTAACAACAAAAGACCAGAGTTTGTGTCACTAGTGCCATAAGATCGAGCCTTGACTTGGGACGTCCTAACGATGACTTTGTAGAATATGGACGCTTATGCGTTTCCACCTTCCCGCTCATACTTAAAACTGCAACGATCGCACAATTTTGTGTTTAAACTAGTAGCACCTAATTGGATCAGCAGGGCATGGTTCAACCTGTTTAGTGTTCCACCCATAGATGTTGCTGTAGATGTAGGACTCTGCGGCACTAACACGTCTAGGCGGCTTTTTGTTAGTGAACTGACAAGTCAAAGCCCTCAGTTGTATAGGAAAAGTTAGAAACTGTTCACTAACAGTTCCTGGATGTATATCAGATACAATAATCAACTGTTATGAAGTTACTGGGCAAAATACAAAGATTGGGGTCCAACAAAGAATCATCATCCACTCTATCAACTATCCCAGTGCGAGGTAAAAATGACACAGGTAATAAAAGACATAGCAAAAATAATGGCCAGGTTTTAATGGCACAGTGGCAAAAACCTGGACGGTAATAATGACACAGTGTATTGCTGCAAGACATGGACGTACACAGGTATTCATAATCGTTTACTAACAAATCTACACTTACAAGTACGGTTTATTTATATTTTTATTTACTTAAAACTTGCTTTTCACAAGCACGACATATATCTATTTACTTCCCCGTAACTTGCACGTATATATATAATATATATATATATATATTTATTTTGTATTTTATTATACATCAGCCAAGTAATTGTCGAGAGAGTATCAGCGACCGTTATGCAGCTGGTGATTTCTTACATTTATGAGTGACAAGCCATAGTTTTACTGGCCATAGTTCCCCACTGTAAACTTTAAAATAGGCGGTCGGAAGGTTTGAGTGTGTTGTTGAGAAGGTGGGGTTATTTTAAGCCGTGAAGTCGTAAAGCAGGTGTGGTCCTTGTATCTGAGTGAGTGGCTTCTGTTGTTGGGGGACATTACGTTGACCTTGTCTAATAGCTCAAATTAAATTACGCCCTCACAACACCCCTCTGTCCCGTTGGTAATTGCTACATTTAAATTACGAACAACAGACAAAAAACAAACAGTTATAGGCCTGGTACATTGTATACGCTGTGAAAATGTGTGCGTTTGTTCTTAGGATGTATTGATGAGCCTGATTGGGAATTACAAAATTTGCTAGGGGATAATGCTGTATTTTAGTAATACAAGTGGTGACAAACAAAGGTGTAAGAGGTCATCAGGTAAAAAAGTCTTATGTAGGAAAACGCAATATATTCCAAAACAGCGCCACCAGTGGCCGGCCAGATCATTTCGCCTTTAGGCGGAAATTATTCTAAACGAAGCATATTCCACTTATAGCATTCCTCCTTGTCGTTGCCATGGCGATGTATACAATGGGAAGCGTATGCTGCATTATATTGACATACCATTAAATTCACAATTTTCTATTCATACTTGATTGATTGTTCCACCTGTAAAGCTGCATAACATTATAGCATTCAGTTGACTTGTATATTATATTAAATGTGTGTAATTATAACACTGTTTTTATTCGGAAACCTTTCAGTCTGATGGAATATTACAAACAATCCAGTTAATTCGATGCCAATATTAAACTCCGTGGCATGAACGTCTCAAATGTGCTGGTTTACTGTTTACATTGGTATGTATCAATCATAAATAAGAAGGGCAAATGGGATATTAACGGCACACCACATATAATTGCAATAAATAATTGAATGTGGCCGTGGCGATATAAGTGCTCAAAGATGACCAATCAGTCTGATCTCGCAAAGTACGTGAACTTGTATATAACTAGTGGTTAAATAACGAAAAAAAAAACAGTTCTAGTTGTGATGGTCGTTAATCAAATGCGTACTGATACGAATAATTATTGTAGATAACATTTAAAGGTTAGTTAGCTTTAAACTTCGAGTCTAGTTGACTACGGACTAGTGAAAGCATATTCAGATGTTGTTATAAATCGTGTCATTATTTGACTGACGACTCGGTCGTAATACTAAGACCTCAGGTTCTACCTATTCTGTTTAATGTTGGGGGGGGGGGGACGGGAAATAAAGCTCAATACTGCTTTAGTTGTTTCCGTCGGAGATGCGACGTAGACGACACGCAGATTTCAATGACGTCATTGGTCATCAGCTTGTGACGCGCATCTTTGTTGTGAGATGGGGGATCATGATGCTTAAACAAGAAATGAGACTATCTTTTTCACTATTAAAAATGAAACAGACTTACATTTGTAATTGATCTGTATTAGTCAATGGATTGGTACGGGTATTTACGTGTTATACTTGTTCTGAAGTTGTAACGGTATTGTGTAGGTCATTTATTTATTTCTGCTAAACCCATGTATTTCACTTTGCGGTGTATATGCAAACAGTAAACCGCAACACTTAAATCCATGTGTCGATTACAAGGATTAAAAATTCGCGTTTTTGGTTGAAAGCGAAGCGCAAAAAAAAAAAAAACGCATTCAAGTGAGACGGTCTCATGTGATAGGTATTGAATTAATAATGAAAAAAATGACAAAGTATAAATTAACCATAGTTATTGTAAGAGAAGAATTTTGAAAAAATATAATATCCAATAGTGCTCTCTAGTTTGTCGTGGTTGCACGGTATGCTAGTAATTGTCAGTCGTTGTGTGCAATGTTGAAAATACAAAAACCTTAAATAAATGTTAAAAGTCCAACCCAAAAGTATGTATTCATTTTTACAACTGTATTCTATCTCAAACAATGAGATAATACACAACCTGGGATTTTCAAAAAAATGGAATACTTTTTCAAAAATAATAAAAAAGTCTCGGGGTGAAAGGGCATTTATAGAAAATCGGGAACGCGCGCGGGTTATACGAGTACCGATGTTGAAGTTCAACATAAAATTTCCTGTCGGCTGGGGGATTCTGCACGAGTTTTTGTTTTTCACTTTATTTTTATCTGAGTGAATAGATCTGCACAACTTTGATTCGTCAGCAAATATTGGAATTTGTTCCCATGTTAATTGTTCGAGTCTTCACAGCCTTCGATTTACCATGGTATTGTGTGTCTGTGATATCCTGATAGAATGTGATATATTCCTGCATCGTGTATCTTATCATATCTGCAGGATATTACGTCATATGTCACGTGCTACCTGGTAACCCGGGCATTAAATCAGTTCAGTAGAGGGTGACACTGCGCGGTAGACTTTTCCGAGCTACTGGATTGCAGAGAAATTGGGGTGAAGCATAACGTCTTACACGTTCTACTCTAATATGTAGAGAATCATTATTACAGTTTTGAGTTCAGGCTGTCATTGAACGAGGATGAGACGAGGTTTTACTTGACACCTGTCGGTTCATCTACTCGTCGTGGCGACACTTTCAGCTTATCCGACCCATTGCTCACGATATTTTGGCGCCAATGAGTATGACAGCTAGGAGCAATGGTGGCTAAAATCGCAATATAAACCTCTCTGATAACTGTTAAATATATGTCGTTCTCTCACTTTAGTGAAAATGATGTATGCGTTCAGCGTGATAATGACACTTTCTATGTCGCTGTTGAAAATGGTTGTGATGTGCCTTCACGGAGCCCCAGATCTATCTAAATTCCCCGTAATCATTAGCGTGGCATTGTCTATTTCTCTGAATTGCGGTAAAAGATTGTTTGACGTTTTTGCCTGTCGTCTTACAATAACACCGGATTACTAGTTATACAAGATTAAGCACACGTGGATCAAAGCCACTGTACACCCCCACGTCGCAATAATGGCTTTGAGCCGCAAGAGATATTTCGTAGGAAATGACTGACAGATCAATGGCTGAAGAAATGCAAAATCCGCCGCACGCCCGATTTCTCCGGCAAAAAAAAACGTCTTAGGGAAAAACATAAACCTGTCACTAGGCTTTGCTGTGATATTCATCTGTCGCCACGGCTAGTGAATGCAGTAGGAATTATGGGTAAATCGATGACGTCACGGGAAAGCTGAACAAAGTGTTACCAGCTATTGGTACGGATACACATACGGTGGTGTATGACAGCAGCTGTGAACGACGCGACCGCTCCCAGCGACAGGAGATTAGTACAATCGTCTATTTTATTTTTATGCATAGCATATATCAAAACAATCACATACGAGGACGAATCATACCAACTCAACGCTTTCACGGCCGACTGAGAGCCGTCATTATTTTTTGTTTTGTTTTAGTTAAATTATATTTTTCTAAACCAAAGTTATGTTCTGGTCGGCATCGATACTTCGCTATGCGGTAGTACTAGTAGCCTTCGTTTACGTTGTTGGGGACACAGACTTCACCAATGACTGGGCCGTGCATGTTCCCGGTGGTGAAGTGGAAGCTAGAATGGTTGCCGAGGAGCACGGATATGTATTTCACGGACAGGTAGGAACACATTATATTTAAAACTGATATCATCACAAGTAACTATAAGTGTTAATTATTGACAATGAGGGTATTCCGTTTTGTTGAGAGCGTTGGATGTGACCTGAACACTTAACTGGTTGAAATCGATTCATCGCGGCAGGGCGTAATAATAATGCCCGGCCATTTTCAGGATATTATTACAAAATGACACGTGCCTGCAGTAATTAAGTTCATGTCGTAAAGCTCGCCATCGTTTAGACGATGATAGTGATTCCATCATACTTTGGTGTTGCGGTGCCTTCAAAAGCGTTTTCCTGATACTGTCGACACTGCCCCCACGATCATCTATCTAAACGGAGAGAATGTAATATGCTATTAAATATTTGAGTTAAAGCTAACAAAGCCAAACATATTTTATTAATCCCACGTGGGCAAATCACAAGTGTATTTTGTGTCCCGGGGATTCGATTAAATATCATGACTATAAGTTCAAGTCTGATATGGATAGGTACATTTCACTAAAACATGAAACATTCATCAATCCAGCCATCCATCATAAAACGTCACAGACTGAAACGTAACTACAACGGAGAAGTGTCCCCCGCGAGTGTAATTAAATTGGTTAATACAAGATATAGAATTAAATGTGGTATATACCATATGGTTGAATTTCTAAATAAAGGCTATAGGTAGGCAACATATTCCCAGCTCGTTATAAAACATTGTGTTTGTGTCATTATTCAAACTCGGGTATGGTTTTGTATGTACACTTATATGTGCGGGCAACTTTAGATAATTACAACCTCGATAAAATAGTGGGTTTTGTAGATAAAAGAATCAATCACCTGTGTGACTGGTAAAAACACATGTTGATCCGGGATTTAAATATGATCGATGAATCCCCCTCTAATTTCGGCAACGTTCGGCGTTGTGGTGATGTACTTGTACGCGCCTGGATCTATTGCCTATAACGTTATAATACACCACTCATGTCAGATCACAGCCTTAATGCGCTATGAAATAAATGTTTACCGCCAGAACAGGTCTGTGTTTGCTAAAAGCTAACGATTCTCTCGATGTGATGTACATTTCACATTCCCGTGCCATGTTAATTTCCGGTGCGTTGATAGGTTGAGCGTTTAATTGCGTGTAGTGCTGTAACATGAAATGAACAAAACACATTAACTGGTGGACAATTCACAGTTCACGTTAATGTCGCGAATATTAATTACATTATATTATTGAATTTTAATTATTTTTGTTTGGTTATTTCTTAAAATAATAATTACATACTTTTCTTTAAAAATAGCACATCTATGGTGTGTAGGTCACCTAAGGCAGAGATATATAACAAGCTGCATTGTATGTGGACATTTAATCTGTTTTGTTTATTATCATAGCCACAGCTTGTATCCTATGAAATGGCCGGGTCACAGTATTAGTTAGTAGCAGAGGAAGATTAAACAAAATATTAATGCATATATGCATTTATATTACGTGAATACAAAAAACAAAACAAAAAAACATTCGGGTTGCGAATTGATCGAAAGACGTTTTATGAATTGCAGTATAAAAGCGCGGGGAATTCACGTTGTAAGCACTGGATACGTTAATATACATGAATACATCGGAGGTTTTATAAAGAATTACATCATCGCAGTGTACCGCTCCTGTAAATTATCCCCTTGACTGTGATTGGATGATGGATTTATTTTATGCAAGTCGATCTAAAATACCATCCTATCTACGTATTACAATAGACCTGACTATAAATAGCATTTAGACTGTGATCGGTAAATTTATTTTATTTGGCTGCGATTTAATACAAAATATGCACATGAATACGAATTGCACTGGGCTTTGATTGATTGATAACTTAATTTATGCAACAGGATTTAAAATACTGTCTTATATAGCGAGGACTTAATTTAAAATAGCCCTGAATGTGAATACGAATAACATTGATGCTGTTATTTGTTGATAAACTTAATTAATGTAACAGAATCTAAAATAAAGTCCTATCATAGCTACGAAAATGGTTCTGAATATATAAATACAGTAAATCTGTGCTTACGTGATAACTAAACATATTACATATTTCGTGAAAGTGGAAAAGAACGCACAAATTCCATTTTTAGTCGACTGCGCTATTTTCTGATCTGGCTAGTACCATTAGCGTAAAAGACTCTTACAAAGTGTTTGCCAACATATGTGCTGACAACTATGGGTATATTAAATGTCAGTTTCACATATATCAACGCGTTGCATACTAACGGTAAGAAACTGTTAAAATTTACGCCACCACTCGGATCCCTCTGCAACCGTAATATATTATCTCTGCGCATAATTTCTTTTTTATTGTGCTTTGAATATTATTTCGATGTGACGATTCTTCTTGTAATTTGTTTTATCTCCAATGCTCTATAATTTGACGAAAATAATGCTGGTGATATGTTTACAATGGATAGACCTCGATTATGATAGAAAACATATTTTACGCGTGTTTATTAAATTTATTTGACATACTCCAAATCAATTACTTGAACCAGCTATGATATGAATGGTGAACACCAGAGCTCAAATCAGCTTGGGATTAAACACCGAAAAGGGGTCGACCTATACGAAGTCATGCACATGTCAAGAATCGTTCCTAACGTATGCGTCCTTGGGGGAACAATACCATTATGATAGATATATGGGCACACATCCCTGTCAGATAGTTCCAAGAAAGTAATATAATTTCTGTGGAAAATGCGCTGTATGTACCATCAGCACTATCACTAGCAATACGCACTTAGCAAAAATCAGCAGAGACAACATTGATATTCAATGTCGAGAGCTGTGCCATGTCACAACAATATATAATAACAACATTTTAATAAAAACCAACACGTTCTGGTCGCTGATAATACCTAAATACTGATAATTATAAAATGTGGGATACATGAATAATTGAATAACATTGTGCAAAACAGGTAGAATTGAATATGGCGATCATCACATTGTTTATACAACTCATTTAAGATTATAATCACGTATATTCGGAATTCATTACTCACTTTGAAAGGTTTGACATCGAAACTGAAAAGAACATTGCAAAGGTACACGTGTGGGCAGACGAGTAAAGTATTCTTGTTTGGCTGGAAACATTCCGCATTTAGCCAAGATAAAGTAATATCTTCCAAAAGTACATACACGAGTAGTATGTAACAAAAAAAATTTAATTTTCGTCTTCCATAAACAACAATAGTATCAACAGATTGGGTTAAACCTCTATAATCCCATTGAACCCTAAGAGGTGAATATCCCCCAGATTCTATTTTAAAATCACGAGATTTGAACTTGAACATCTTTCTTATAGATGTGAATTAGTAATATACAGAGGTAGGTTCTCTTTGTGATGTTGTATTTTCCGATGATTATTTTTGCCAGAGACATATTTACAACATTTTCAGACTTTTATTTTATTCATTATTATCTGTATTTTATCAACAATAATATCACAACCCTACAATGATTTGTTCGTGGATATATATGCCGTAACCAGTTTATGGCATTGTAGATGAGATCATGAATTACCGACAACTCAGAATTTGCGGCAAATTGATCATTATGATCTAGTTTCCAAATTGAAAACGAAATAGAAACTTATGCTCCTGTTTCAGCCAAATTTTATATGCAAACAACATATACGCACATCAGAGTAAACTTTTTTCAAGCTTTCCCACGTACTTCTGTTTTGGGAATCAACATGTTAACTCAAAGTACTATCTATATAAAAAAAATGAGAGGCACAATACTACTATGTTTTTTAAAACTACAGCTTGTTATGCTATTCAACTTTTTTTGGTCAAGTGATTATATTTAGCTGGTGACTGAGATAGTCGAGAAAAAACTAATCCTAGGAAATTATAATGATTAAAGTTAAATACCTGTTAAGCCTCATTTGTCAAGATTCAACACCCCTTCTCACTCTCCGATACAGTGATTTATGCTAAATCTAGATTAACCGTCAAAGACCAATTTAAATTTCTGATACTGGTGGGTTATTTTACCTTGGTGACGAATAGACAGTTTCTGTGTCACGCGGTATTTAATTTGTTCGAATATATTTTATCATTTTCTCGTTCGTATTCGAAAAAAGCGTTTGCAGGTAAACGTTCGATTTATTGTTCTCGAACCTCAGGGGTTGATCTGTCGCTTTGTACACTTTAGATAAATATTATATTTTTTTGTTTTGTTTAATATTATTAATTTGTATTTGTTTATCACGTTTTGAAATTCGATCGCCATTTTCACTTATAAATATATTTATCAGCTAATAATACTGGGTTGGCTTCAGAATCGTCTACCTCGCAGTCAAATTATGAAATTATCCCCGATGTTACTCGTTTATTGAGCAGCATCGGGATTTATCTTTTATTAAATATGTTTTTATTTGGCATTGTTGACGTCATTGCATCATGTGAGTAAAAATTGTTATTCATATTCAAAATGTATTATGTGCTTGTGACAACACTGCTGTCACAAATCTTGTTTGTGCTGCATATATCCGCGTCTCCGTGTTCCAACACACATAAAGTGATGACGATTAACGTTAACACCGTGACGTTTACACCATATCTGACGCGGTAATTCATGCGCAACGTCACAACAGTGAATAGTAAATAAGACGTGCGATAAGTGACGCATATCTTCATTACCCCCCCGAAACAAAAACAACTGTTTTTTTTCTGTTCTACTTTTTATTAATATCAAATTTCAATATTTAATTTCTAAAGTGTCTGTCTTGTGATAACACAGCCATCTATACTCCGATGTCGTGTCATTAGCTAGTTGTGTTCATCCATATTGGAATTATAGTTTCCATTTTGTGTTCGTATTTACTGCTTCGTGTTACTGAAATGACAATGTACTGAATTTGAACAATGACAGTATTAAACTATATATGTCACTGAGCATTATTTACATGATATAGTAACTATACAACCTAATTTTACTGATTTAATATTTTCACG